ACACACACACACACACACACACACACACACACACACACACACACACAGACGCAGCGATATCTCGTCTACAAACCCGGCGATTTGCTCCCAATAACAGCATTGCTGCACGCTAGAACCGATCAGATTCACGGTGACACAAAAACACGAAATTGAACACACAAACGACTTTAAAAGGAACGCCTCCTCCAGCTTTCATCCATCTGCATCTCTTCTATGTCATTATCACGCCCCCCCCTATGCAGCAGGTCCTTTTAGTTCAGGTGCTGTGAGGTTAAGCCTCCGGTGCAGATTGCGTGTTTAACACTCAGAAGAGGATTTGCAGCCGGCGTCCTCGGCTGCAGACGCGTTACGGTTACCGCCGCTCTGAAAGAGGTTTCTTGACAAAAAAATAAGTAAATCACATATTTTAGATGAAATTTGTGCATCATCATAATCCACTGTTACCTCTGCATCCTAACAGTTACTTGTATTTCATAACTGGACAGATAAAAGCGGAAATGCTTTGTCATTTGTCTATTATCAAGTCAAAAATAAGATACTATATGTTTGCAGAGTTTAACTTTTTCTGGAGAGAAATCAGTGACAAAGGTCAGTCTTCACACATCAAGACTCTTACTTTGAAAATGTGGCCGTTCAGTGGGCTTTCTGCACTGCCCTTTAAAAGATATTCAATCGATTTTCTGCACTGACAAACTGTCAATCCAGTTATCGGGTGGTTTGTTTTGTAGCCCATGAATAACAAGTATTCGGGGCTTATTGAGACGTTGATTTATTTAAGACATATCACAATATGTCAATGGAGGCTCCGCCTGTTGTGGGAGTTTTCTTATCCTTGTACAGAGAGGTTCAATGTCAGACTGAACAGCGGTTAAACTTGCATAAGAAAGGAGTAAGAGTTTTGAGTTGCAGCCTTCTATGTATAGCATGCACAAATAGACTCACAAACTTAAATGCATGCACCGACACACTACAGACACACACACACACCTCCCCTCTCACTCTCCCAGTCACTCTTTGCCCCTCTCGGTCGCTCTCTGCCCCTCTTTCCCAGCACTAGAAATAACTTCAAAGAGGGCTGGTAGCCTTGAGGAGAGAGGGAGTGGGATCCAGTTACAGCGGAGCAGCTGGGAGGGCCCTACAGGTGGGGCCGACACTCCACCTCCTGTAACTTTATCGCCGTAAAGGGATCCCTTGGCTTCTCCTCTCGAATAATGAAGACTTCCTCCCTTTTGTCTTCTCCACTGGGACTAAAGGAACAATTAGCCAAGCTAGCCCGGCGTCCATCTTTTGTTTTGGCAGTCAAAACCAAAGTAAAGGAAAAAAACAAAGTCTTAGGGACTGAAAAAGGTTGATTTGTCAATAGAACATAAGTTACATTCTTTTGTGTTGTTAGGAACTTCACTCTACACTTATGGCTTCAAAGTGTGTCAAGTGATGGCAGACAGAAGCTTTTACTTTGAAAGGCCAATTCATTTGCATGTCAAAATGATTTTTTTGAACCGCTGAAAAAAAATCAACATTTTTTTTAGGAAAACGGTTGATTTTTTACTGACCTTTCGCTCCACAAATAAAGACACCAACCACAAAGCAACAAGGCAGCGCAGACCGGATCTCCTCCACCCGTTCTGACCTTTCACAATAAAAGCCCATAGCATATAATATTTGCAGTGTATTTTTCATGTATGTTATTTCTTCGTCGTGCCCACGGTGTTTAAAGGTCTTTACATGCGTAAGACAACTTTTCCTTTCCTCAAGGACGCATGAAGAAAAGCCCGCTTTGTGATGCCAGCCTCAGTGCAGTCATCTGTCTGCCCCCCACCCCACACACACACTACTCGCTCTCCCCTCCTCAACCGTCGCCGAAAATCACCTCCACGCCATCTTCATAGCAACGGGCAAAGCAAACAAGTGTCATGGTTTCAGAGTGAGCAGAGGACACCTAATATCATGTAAATGTCCTGATATGTAGCACAAGGCTCTGGGGTTGACAGCTTTAACACTGAGCAGGACGCCGAGCTTGTGACTCTATTAACTCTCTGCGAGTGCATCCCGAAACCATCAATGGCGTGTGTGTGTGTGTGTGTGTGTGTGTGTGTGTGTGTGTGTGTGTGTGTATACGCACACTCGAAAGTCCCTCTGGTGTCACTTTCAGCTCTTCAGTCTTTAAACCCCGGAGTGACGCGAACAAAGGACAGGCCGACAAAGTTCAGGGGTCAACATTGGGCTGGGTGCCACCATTTTGGAAAGAGAAGGAGGGGAGTGGAAACAACTGCCGCCCTCCTTCCCCGAAGAGATCACAGCATCTATGTGAAAAGATAAAGTAACCGCAAAGCAAATGCATCACCTCTCCGTGTGCAAAAAGGGCTGCCGTCCTGCGGAGGACGATTACAGATGTAGGCGAAGGAGAGCATAAATTATTTGTCAGCATCAAGGTGCAACAATGAATTCATTAGCGTGACTTAACAATGGAACAAACAAAGGAACATGGTGCTCATTAATAAACAATTCTATATGGCACACAACTGCTGAGTAGCGTGTACACGTGTTGGTGTGTTCTCTACGTATCAGCTTTTCTTTTTTCGTTCGTGTTTTGCTGAAATGAGTTTTGTCAATGAAGTATCGAGCAAAGATTTTATGCCAACGTTCAACACCACATTTGGTGTTTTGTGCATATAAAACTCCGTCCACCGCCCCAAATATCGGTGGCATCCCCCCGGCTCCGGCCCTCGCCATTAAAAACAAAAGTCCCTACTTAATGAGCTATGATTAATGCTGCTGCAGAACGGCTGGTGAGCCCGGGGGAGGGAGGCTGGACATACCTGGCGCAGTCAGCCTGCTGTGTGTGTGTGTGTGTGTGTGCGTTAGAGGGCCGAGGGGTTGAGGTTGCTAAAAGTGGACCGAGGGGAGGATTGCAGTCATCAACACCTAGGCTCTGAGTGGCCTTTGATGTCGCGCGGCGTCTTTGATGGGCCCCGGCCATGGAGGAATGCTGCTCGCCCTCCCTCCCCACCCACCCCAAAAAGCCCCCGGAGTTGTGGAATGCGACGCAAGCTGCTGCTGCTGCTGCTCGGCCCGCTGGAATGGGATTAGAGCATAGGCCCATATTGCCCCTCCTCCCCTCCCTCATCTCGCTCCCACCCTGCCCTCTGGGGGTGGACAACATGGCGGCTACCTTCGTCCAGACCCCTAAAAGTTTGGGATGATGGGGGGAAAAAAACAGGACATATAGTCTCCCCTACGAACCGTGAAGGTTCAACTCTTTAACGCTTTTAACAGAAAAACTACGTGAAAACAATCACACACCTCTTGCGGTATAATCAGTCTCATTTGTCCAGTCGTTTGTTCACTACTTCTCACACGAAATTACATTTGTCTAAATGCGTCAAGCGTTTTAAAAATAGTAATGTTTTTGTGATGTAGTGAGCGTACGACTGGATGAATGAGCATTATACTGCTCGAGTTGTGTGAGAGTTTGTCAGCAGGTATTTACGTTTTTCATATTCTTCGTTCATTGGGAGGCACGCGAGAAAATGTGTGGAAGGAAACTTCCAGAAGTACTTTGCTCAGTGTCATGACCATGATCGTCCGAATTCATGTCATCTCAATACGATTTCGCCAAAAGTCAACGGACGAAAATACCAAATAATCGGCCGGCTCTTTCTTCAGCTCAGCGACTCTTCTCCTGGAAATAAAAGACGATTCCGATGTGGCCAGTCTCCACGGGAACTTTCCCTATTTGGATTCACACGATGTGGGGGATCCACAGCAGAGGTGGGCCTGTGGAGATCAAACAGGTCCAGGGCGAGCAAGCTGGCCCGCAATCAAAAGCTAGAACACCACCTAAACCCCGATGCTTTGAGATATTAGATTAAGGGAATGGCAAACACTTCAGATGACCGGAGTCGCTTGCCAAATATGCACATATGGGCCTGGCATATCAAAGTGGAGAGCCACAATATGAAATCAGAGAGACTGTGGACTCTAATGCCGTGGACTCGCACACAGGTATGTGTGTGTGTGTGTGTGTGTGTGTGTGTGTGTGTGTGTGTGTGTGTCAGTTACAGTGGGAGATGAGTGTTGTAATCCCACCGCTCCTCAGAGGAGAGACAGACATTCTGTAAAGGTCAAGTTCATATTGTCCACACCCACTCACACACATCCACTCACACACACAAACAACACAAAACTTAGTGGACGACCTTCCACACAACAACTGCACAAACAAGCCGTTTTGGCCATGCGTGCCGGTGTCTGTCAGGGCGTGGCCGGACCGGGACGGTTTTTGCTGAGGATTGTGGAGAGTTGAGAGGAATGTGAACAGGACTTGCAGTACATGCACATGTTCACACATTTAAATGAATGGAGCGCACAGGCGGCGGGATTTCGTACAGAAACGGCAACTCCCCCTTCTCTCCTTACCTCGCTTTTCCCCCCTGGCCACAGGGAGGGAGGGAGAGAGGGGAGGTGGAGAGCATTAGCGCTGGTTTCAGATTTCGGCGGCCTCCGACTTGTTTTCTTTAGGAAACACTTACTGGGGCTCCAAATACACCAGAGGAAATGCTCACCGCCACCGCTTCCGGGTCGGATGGCTAAGGTCACGCTGTACTCCGGGGAAAGAGATGAAGAGCGGGCGCACCATTAAGGTATATGTGGAATGCGTTTAGCACCACCAGCAATTGGCCTTTATGATTTTGTCGCAAATGTACCGACCTTTAAAGAAAACACGAGAAGAATAAGTGCGCGAGGAGGTTTGAGGGACTGATTTTACTCCTGAAAACTGTTGCATGTAGAATCACCCTCTGAGACTTTCCTCAGCTCGCTTGCGTCCGCTTTTAGTTTCCCTTCCTCTCCCTTTCTGTTGCTTGCTCTCTTGGTTCTGCAAATGGCCCCACCATCACTTTTGTTAATGACAACCTGGATGGAGGCTTCCTCCTTCCTTAAGGGGTCATCTTGGATAGCAAGAACAGCAGCACCCGAAGCTATTAGGTCGCTCTCCAAACGCCTATTGTCTTTGTTGTTGCTTCAATAGGACGCGTGCAAGATTTTCACATCAATTTTCACATTGCATTTACAGAATGGTACACTGGCACCGATCTGTTCCTGCTTCTCAAATCTGAGGAATTTATGCTTTTTTAAATTTTTTGTTTGGGAATGTTGGTTGTTCAAAGTAATCACCTTGAAGACATCAAATTGGGCTTCTAGAAACAACCAAGCGATTAGCTAGATGAATCCATAATCCATATTTGCACGGCTGCAAACGGAGACAATAATAGTCAAATTAGCAGAGAGCTAACTTTTCAAGGCTTTACGTCAACTGCAAAGTGAATTCAACTGTAAACTATAGTCAACACAAGCCTTCAATAACAAGTGTAACATCATCAACAAAATGTGAGATATTTCACTACTCATGCGGGTAATTTAAAGCACCTTCATATTATTATTCGTTATTATTCTGGGAGGTCTGAGACACCATCAGGACGGACCAGTGGGCAGGTTTATCCCACATCTGACCATCTCTGCGCTTATTCCGATCAGCGATCAGGTTAGACAAGTCCCTCTATTCAGAGCGACAGTAATACCGATATCCCCAAAGAGAGGGAGGAGGTGGAGAAGAAGAAGAAGAAGAAGAAGAAGGGGGAGCAAAAATAAATCCTATCTGAGAGATTAACTCGCAGCACCCAACCGAGCCAGTGCTGGGTTCACTGGCTCACTCGGTCCTATCTTACCCACTAGCCTCTTGTTCTAAAGCAAAGCATGTCTTTGATACTCGACTAGAAGGAATCTGGAGGCGTTACAGGTTTCTTTTGTGCTTTACGCTGCACAGAGAGTCTGTGTGTGTGTGCCAAGGCTGGGATTTCTTTTCTTTACCCCCCTCCCTCTTTCTTTCTCTCCCTCGTCCCTTTTGCCTTCATCTCCTGCTCCCCTGCCCCCACCCCAAACACTAAATCACTGAATCACAAACCTGTTCTCTCCGTTTTTTTTGTGGCAACGATCACAAACTGTTATTTTAAAGCTCAAACTCTTCCTGGAAAAAAAAAAAAAAAAAAGTTTCAAACCTGCTGTGCTGGGGGATCAAAGTGGCCATATTTGGGTGGTGACCCAAGGAGGTGACTGCTTCAGAGGAGTTTGAAGGGAGGATAAGGGGGTGGGATTTTGGACAGAGAAGGAGGGGAAGGGAGAGGGGGAGTGTGGGTGAGGTTTGACTCCCCTTGGAGATTTTCTTAAACCCATTACATCAGCTTTTTTCTGCTTGATGGGCTCCAAGTCCGGGGCTTTTGTGAGGGTAGAAAATGACCTAAATTGACATGCAGAATGCTTGTGGTTGGTTAATTGTGGCCAGGCATTTTCTGGCATAAATAAAGCAAGATTCCAGAGGCCTTCTTCTTTAAGGCTTCTGCGTCTCTGAGAGCATGGCCTCCAATGGATGTAAAGTACCCAAAACCAAGATCTGATTCTGGGTCGTGATAAGAATCATATCAAAGGGATTTTCCCTCGTTGCTCAACACCCGAGCTGCAATTCAGCTTTTGACTTCCACTTTTCTAACGAACTGGGCAGTGCATGAATTTCTGCTTTTCCAACCGCCAGAATATGGTCCCGCCTCAGCTTTGATCACAACAAAGAGGCTGTCATAAGTGGCACATCCGCATGCTGAGGCTCTCTGACACTTAACAGCACGTTTTTCTACATCTATGATCGCACAAGTTGAAAAATTGGTCAATACAAGCTTCTTTTTTTTTGTTCCTCAAACAGAAGGGAGAGCAAAATCAAAAGGAAAGTGTGAAATAAGAACTGATGCAGCGGTCCTGCTAAGCTCTACCCACACATTCTAACCAAAAGGATTCACAATGGCTGGCCTAAAAAACATAAAAGAAAAAAAAAAAAAGGAGAAATTCAAAAGAGGCCACTTGCTGGTGCCGGGCAAACTGATCAGCAGCGCATAGACTGTCAAAAGCTAGTGGGAATGTCAAAAGCACCACTGATCTCTCTCTTTCTCCCCTAATGTGATCAAACAGGGGTTCGTTCCCTGGAGGAGGTCAAAGAAAGAGAGCGAGAGAAAAGAGAATGGAGGCTTTGGTGCACCGTAGGAAGCCGGCCACCAGCAGCACAACCAAGCAGCGAGCACAAAACAACACGCCGTCTCTGGAGCTTTCTCCCAGGCCCACGGCGAGAAAGAAGAAGAAGAAGATTGGGCCGAGGAGGAAAGAGTGGTTGGGCAAACAGTGAGGGGTAAGGGGCTCAAAAGGGGCCTGGTTGCCCGGGTGAGGGGGACCCGCTGCTCCAAAAATGTCCACATCAAGCGTCCGGCTACGGTCCAGGCCCCCAGAGGTGCGCTCCCAGTGCGCTCGGAGGTCAGTGGCATGGACAAAAGGGAACGAAACGGGCCTATGCTGGCAGAGCAGCTGGGCTCAGGGTAAAGAAGCTTATAGGACTGGAGAAAAGGTGTGTGTGTGTGTGTGTGTGTGTGTGTGTGTGTGTGTGTGTGTGTG